AATCCAAGGTAGGTTGGTATTGAAAATGAGCGAAATCGGATGTAACCACGCCCACTTCCCATATAACGGTAATTTCCAGAAATACGAAAACAGCGATATTTTAGTAACTACTGAAGATAATTCCACCAGAATATGTGTTATGAAAGCTATAAAAAAATAGCCTTAACTAATAATGACTTCTAGCTAAAATTAGGAAATACATACAATACTTACGAGTTTCTATTGGGTCTATTTGCAGATAAATGGCTGAAACCATAAGCTCAGCTAACGGCATGGAGATGACCTTAAAAGATAGCGGGATCATCGATATGACTCCCGCTAGTTTGTTGCAACACAATGCGTTGGTCAAACATTCGCATGCGCTGCGTAGCTTAAAAGAATGCAGTTCCGATGAGCAGCCAGTTGCATTAGATTCATCAGCGCGAGCAAATAGTACGCCGCCAACAAATTACTCCACGCCCACTCCGACTCCGCCCGCAATTGCGACGTTTCGCTGCGATCGTTGCGATAATTTCGAAACAACCTCAAGGGCATCGCTTTTGCTGCATGTCGTGCAGTGCTTGTCCAATCATGCGCACCTCAAAACAGAAGGGGCTGAACTGGAAAATTTCAGCGTTGGGGCTGCTGTGCCTCACGTAGACCACAACGCAGGCAGCAGCAACGACGTCACCAAATTGCTCCCGGATACACCAAACAATGTGCCTACAAATATGTCGGTGATTACCACCAATGGCAATGGTAACGCTAGCAGTCCAACGGCTTCATCGTCGTCGTCGTCATCATCCCGCAAAGTCTTCGAATGTGACGTTTGCAATATGAAATTTTCAAATGGCGCCAATATGCGACGACATAAGATGCGTCATACCGGCGTAAAACCGTACGAATGCCGTGTTTGCCAGAAGAGGTTTGCTTAGTTCTTGAGTTATGGATTGAATTTGTGCGGCGACATTTTTATTATTGAACTTGTTCTAGATTTTTCCGCAAAGATCACTTGGCGGAACATTTTACAACGCACACGAAAACGCTTCCATACCACTGTCCCATATGTAACCGTGGCTTCCAGCGACAAATTGCTATGCGCGCTCATTTCCAGAACGAACATGTTGGCCAACACGACCTCGTCAAAACTTGCCCGCTGTGCAGCTATAGAGCAGGCTCCATGAAATCTTTGCGAATTCACTTCTTTAACAGGTGCGCCTAATGATGCTCTGCATAGTATTTTGTGTAGTGTGGTTGATTATTCTTTTTGCGCCCACTTGTAGACATGGCATAGATCTTGACAACCCCGGACCGGGTGGATCCTCCTCATTGCTACTCGCTTTGGAATCGCAGGCATCTCAGGTAGCAGCTGCAGCAGCCGCCGCCAGTTTCGTGCCGGGCTTGAATGCGGTAGCTGCTGCTGCCGCTGCAGCCAGCCAGAATGCTAACTCGAGCATGACAACCCATCANGCTCGCTTTGGAATCGCAGGCATCTCAGGTAGCAGCTGCAGCAGCCGCCGCCAGTTTCGTGCCGGGCTTGAATGCGGTAGCTGCGGCTGCCGCTGCAGCCAGCCAGAATGCTAACTCGAGCATGACAACCCATCAGAGTGATAGCGGTGAATCGATGCGTTCGCTGGAGAATGCTACACCGCCGATGCATTTCTTGACGCCGCATGTGGAAATCTCAACGCTGTCCGAAAACGGCACTGATTTGTTCAATGTAACATGGAATGCGTTGCTAAATTGCAAATTGGGGAAATCCACTGATGCGGCGTTTTTGTGTGCGTTTGATTTGCAGGGAAATGCCAATGCATCAACCGGAGTGGAACTGATGGAGACGAAGAGTGGCAGTCGTGGAGGGGAACGGGACACAATCACCGGCAGCAAGTCACCAGTGCCACCACCACCTCAGGAACATCCGATCGATTGTAATACCAAATCGTTGCCTTCGAGTACCAGTCATGTCGGCCTACATTTGAATGCTTGCGCTTCACCAAAAACTCATCATCACGAGAACCACATCACGCCATCCATCAGTTTGATACCAATCAAGCAGGCGAGTGTAATGCAATAAATTAATATTAATTTCCCATATTATTCTTCTTTTGTTCACATAAAAAACATATACACATCCATCCATATCTTTGCATTTGTTTTTTTTTTTGGTTATTGTTCCTCCACTGTAGGAGCCACTCGGTGAAGACCTTTCAACGGATTCAAATAAGGCGCGTCATAAAATCAGTCCATCTACACCCAGTGACCAAATGAATGGCGGCGATAGCAATGAGTCGGAATTCTCCTCGCCAAATAACAGATTAACATCATTAATTAAGGTTTGTTGTTGTAATAAGTAATCTTTCGTTTCAACTTTAAATTTTCTAAAGTTGAATTCTAGATTTTTTTTATTTTACATACTTTTGGGACCTTTAACATGTTTTATTTCTGAAAGTCCTTCTAAAAAATCCTGACGCCAGGGAGAAAAAACTTAAAACGCAGTTTCACTAAATCTGGCCCTTAGCTTTGTGAGCAGTGTTGCCACACATGGGCCTTTGCTACCAAAACTGGTAGGTTTTTTTCCATGTAGTAGGTTGGTAGGCTAGATTGGATTTTGGTAGGTTCCGCGATAATAATAGTTATTTGCTAGAAATAGAAAATTTTTATCTATAAACATTTTAGCAACCTAGTTTACGCGAATATTTCACCAGTGCGTTCGTATAACGGCGACCGCACACATGTAAATACACCTGATTCGTAAGTACGAACGTATACTCTCATTATTTCCAGTATAAAAAATCATATATGAGCCATTCGTTTTTAAGTCGGACGGATTTCGTAAAAAAAATTATGTCATGTCTCTGATTCGCTTCAAGTTTTTTTGTTTGGGCTCTATACATGATATAAGCTAACACGTGTTTGAGGTTTTTTTTTTCTCGGACATATGATTTGTCAAAGTTTGCATTTTTTTGTGTGTTCATTTACTTCTTCAAATCATTATATCTCGGGTTCTGCCCATCGTAGAGACTTCATCTTAACGTCGTTTTAAAGCTAAAGAAACGGGCTTAGCATGTCTATATATATGATGGTCAAGATTGTCCTAAAGCTAACTTAGATATTAAGAGTCGAACTTTTTGAAGTTGATTTGCATAGTGAAGACCAGTAAATTAAGGATTTAAAATTATACCATCTGCTTATGCGACTTATAACACCTAGTGACTAAAGGAATACTACACCCCAAGGAACTGGTACCAAACCGGATATAAAACACGTTTGAATTTATATACAAGCATGTGCAAGGCTGAATATGCAAAAATTGCATGTCAGAAATTCTTTATGCACATNATGATATAAGCTAACACGTGTTTGAGGTTTTTTTTTTCTCGGACATATGATTTGTCAAAGTTTGCATTTTTTTGTGTGTTCATTTACTTCTTCAAATCATTATATCTCGGGTTCTGCCCATCGTAGAGACTTCATCTTAACGTCGTTTTAAAGCTAAAGAAACGGGCTTAGCATGTCTATATATATGATGGTCAAGATTGTCCTAAAGCTAACTTAGATATTAAGAGTCGAACTTTTTGAAGTTGATTTGCATAGTGAAGACCAGTAAATTAAGGATTTAAAATTATACCATCTGCTTATGCGACTTATAACACCTAGTGACTAAAGGAATACTACACCCCAAGGAACTGGTACCAAACCGGATATAAAACACGTTTGAATTTATATACAAGCATGTGCAAGGCTGAATATGCAAAAATTGCATGTCAGAAATTCTTTATGCACATTCACTTCTCAACTGCCGCAGAACAAAACCTACTAAAGTAGTTAATTGCTGGCACCCCAAATCATGCTCAACTTGCTTAACGCATCAACCCATACAGAGCTGGTACAAGAGTTACCATTGGTCACAGCGCCTACCCAATTTTTTAACTTAAATACGTAACCGCTTGACGCACCCCAAAAACTTTTCCAGAGTTTTTAAACAGTAAAGCCACACCGCTATAAGCAGTAGAGACTCGGCATGACTTACAACCCTGCAGAGGTGGTAACTGATGGTTATCATTGGAACCGACGCCTACCCAAAACATTTTTGCTTGAATAAATTTTTATGTAAATAAATTCATCCTGACCCTGCCCTCTCATTGAATTAGTCACCATCGTAATCCTTTTTAAATTCTCTATAAAAAACGTGGTTCAAAAAAATTGGCATTTTTTCAAGAACTCTTTTTAAAATATTTTTCTTTATGACGAGATGGTTTATTTTATGAGAATCAACAATTTTTTGTAATTTGTTTTCGACAACTTATAGTGAGATATATTTGGTAAGGTGTTAAACATCGGGCTTTAGGAAAACGTAAAATTTTATTGCGGATTCCGATAGAATACCTATCTATATATAATATTTATATGGCAACACTTTTCTTTAATGTGACAAACCCCTAGAAATGGTCGTGGCAATTGCAGGACTTGAGTGAGCAAACACACAAATTTTATAGCAAAACGCAGATTTTANTTGCTGGCACCCCAAATCATGCTCAACTTGCTTAACGCATCAACCCATACAGAGCTGGTACAAGAGTTACCATTGGTCACAGCGCCTACCCAATTTTTTAACTTAAATACGTAACCGCTTGACGCACCCCAAAAACTTTTCCAGAGTTTTTAAACAGTAAAGCCACACCGCTATAAGCAGTAGAGACTCGGCATGACTTACAACCCTGCAGAGGTGGTAACTGATGGTTATCATTGGTACCGACGCCTACCCAAAACATTTTTGCTTGAATAAATTTTTATGTAAATAAATTCATCCTGACCCTGCCCTCTCATTGAATTAGTCACCATCGTAATCCTTTTTAAATTCTCTATAAAAAACGTGGTTCAAAAAAATTGGCATTTTTTCAAGAACTCTTTTTAAAATATTTTTCTTTATNCTGAATTAGTCACCATCGTAATCCTTTTTAAATTCTCTATAAAAAACGTGGTTCAAAAAAAATTGGCATTTTTTCAAGAACTCTTTTTAAAATATTTTTCTTTATGACGAGATGGTTTATTTTGTGAGAATCAACAATTTTTTGTAATTTGTTTTCGACAACTTATAGTGAGATATATTTGGTAAGGTGTTAAACATCGGGTTTTAGGAAAACGTAAAATTTTATTGCGGATTCCGATANTATATTTGGTAAGGTGTTAAACATCGGGCTTTAGGAAAACGTAAAATTTTATTGCGGATTCCGATAGAATACCTATCTATATATAATATTTATATGGCAACACTTTTCTTTAATGTGACAAACCCCTAGAAATGGTCGTGGCAATTGCAGGACTTGAGTGAGCAAACACACAAATTTTATAGCAAAACGCAGATTTGATTGCGAATTTCCGCAGAATTCCCTTCGCTAACAACATTTGTTCCGCAATATAGATTTTCTGCCGAAATTCACAATAAAATCTAAATTTTTGAACTTTGGTTTTAATACAGCCACGTCCATTTCTAGAATATTCTTTGATTGAAAAAGTTGTGGAACAAATGTTGTTAACAAAGCGATATTCTGGCGAAATCCGCAATAAAATCTGCGTTTTGCTAACTTAAGTCTTATAATTGCTCCCTGATAAACAAAAAATTGTCAGGTAAAAGTGTCACCGTTTTTGAAATATTTACATTTTTTCGAATATAAAAAAAAATCGTGCCTTTTCATGTGTTTTCTTTAACTGCAACTACAAACCGGGCAATACTTAGTAAATTTACATTTTTTCGAATTTAAAAAAAATCGTGCCTTTTTTCAGTTAAAAATCCTGAAATAGTCCTAATTTTATGATGGTTCCTTAATATNCATTTTTTCGAATTTAAAAAAAATCGTGCCTTTTTTCAGTTAAAAATCCAGAAATAGTCCTAATTTTATGATGGCTCCTTAATATATTTTAACTACATTGCATTTGAGTATGGAGAGGCAACTATCTGGAAGTATTTTACATAAAAAATTTACTAAGTATTGCCCGGTTTGTAGTTGCAGTTAAAGAAAACACATGAAAAGGCACGATTTTTTTTAAATTCGAAAAAATGTAAATATTTCAAAAACGGTGACACTTTTACCTGAAAATTTTTTGTTTATCAGTGAGCTCACCCCCCCACCTACCTTCCCCTAAAGTTTGGCACGTTACTTCTGGGACACCCTGTATAAGTTTTTGAAAACAAATTACAAAAAATTGTTGATTCTCACAAAATAAACCATCCCGTCATAAAGAAAAATATTTTTAAAATAGTTCTTCAAAAACGCCAATTTTTTAACCAAGGATTACGATGGTATAATTTTAAATCCCTAATTTACTGCTCTTCATTATGCAAATCAACTTCAAAAAGTTCTACTGTTAATAGCTAAGTTAGCTTTNAATTTTTTAACCAAGGATTACGATGGCATAATTTTAAATCCCTAATTTACTGCTCTTCATTATGCAAATCAACTTCAAAAAGTTCAACTGTTAATAGCTAAGTTAGCTTTAGAATAATCTTGACCATCTTATATATAGAAATATTAAGCACATTTCTTTATCTTTAAAACGACGTTAAGATGAAGTCTCTACGATGAGCAGAGCCCGAGAAATAACGATTTGAAGAAGTACATAATTAGTCAGAGTCACGAAAAAATTCAAACTTTGACAGATCATATCTACGAAGAAATTCCTCAAACATCATTCATATATCCTTTACTAGCTTATACCCGCGGGTTTCGCCCCGCGCTTTTATACAAATAGCTCGTTATTTTTTATAGCTCGTTTTTTTTTAAGCGAGTTAAGGTATTTAGGCCGTTTAAAACTATGAAATTATAAAATCTCGTCTGCGCGCTAGGCATACGAAAGATATCAATCCCTCTAAGTTTACCTTAAAATGGTTCCAGGTATACGACGCGTGAACGTGTAACCTTCTTGGAGGTGCTACGGCGGTTGTAATATTTATAACTCAAATTTAGTAACCTGGCCTTGATAAAATACCACTTCTCATTACTGTAGCAAATGCCTCAAGAGAGCTTTAGAT